TCCAACTTAAGGCTGAATGAAGAGAGAACTTGTCTATCACATTTAACCAATACAACAAAACAAATCTCATAGTTACTATAAATGTCAGTAATGACAAAATATATATATATATATATATATATATACAGCTAACTGGTAAGTCTGTGAAACCTGATTTTTTCTGGATAGAGGATGACTTTAAACAGCTGGTTAGTATAAATGGTTGTATTACAAATTCAGCAATATCGAATTTACAGAAAAGTTACTCTTCTAGGAAATTCAGCTATTCAGAACATAGCAGAGCCCATACTAAAGTCCTCTGAATGGCAGACCGATGTCACAAGTTTATACACTGAAACTTGCACATTTTAATATGCAGACTTTAATGGGACTCTTGATTCCCCACTTACAGCTTACTCTACTAAAGATTTTCCTTCTAGTTTTTCAGCCTGTACATATCAGAAGGAGGCACATTGACAACAGGCAAAAGTAATGGGCTTGGGACGTAGCCATATGGAAAAAGTAGCCACAAATGTTCAAAAGGGAAAAGATTTTGAACAATTTGGTATAAACGTAGAGAATACAGCCTCTGAGCACATCACAGCACACGAGCTCATGTGCACTGATGACCATCTGAGTCATCAACGGGAGACTACAGGCACCACGCCCTGGTGGAAAGGAAGGTTTAATATATTTTACAAGTACTTCCTTAAAAATTATATTAAATTTTAGTGCTTAAAGACTTTGACAAGCAGGCTCACTGGAGAAAAATACAAAATTTTCAACTCCTCAATAACAGTAGCCAAATGAAATGTTACTGTCATGAGGTATGTGGAGGAAAATGAAATTAATATTTATTCCCTATTTATTTATGTTATCAGGGACTTTGGTGATGTAGAGCCTCTCACATCCTGGCTTTGAAATTTCTTGTATCATAATGAAGAAATGACAAAACAGGGTTATTAAACTGCAGTATACTTTAACTACTTTCCTTGAATAAATGAACACATATCCAAAAGAAGCAAATATATCATCATAATTGTATAGTTCACAGTACAAAAAAATATTTCCGGTAATATCTGGAATATAAGCTTAAAAATATGATGAAGATTACCCTTGAACCTGTCCAAGCACACTGAGATTACACATATAACATCATTTGGAGGTAACATCAAAATATTAAATTTGAGGGGCTTGATTAATCTGAGGACCAAGGACAAAAAGTGACTCTCCTATGTTCTTCCTCAATGCCATGACAGACTCATTACTTCTATTTTCTCATATAAACTTAACACAATATTATTATCACTTCTATTTTGTAGATGAGGAAACTGGGGCCAAGAGATAAAATCACTTGCCCAAAATGGCAGTCCTCTGGTAGAAGGGCAATAATTCAACCCGAAATTGCTTGGCCCCCAGAACCCATGTTGCCTCTCCGAGACTGAAGTTACTGAGTTCCTGAAGGAATGTGGGGGGGACATGATGGTGTCAGACCTGAAAAGCATTCTCATGAAAAAGACAAGCTGTGTGAAACTCTAGAGGCAGTCAGTATCGAACCTATGGCCAGTGTATAAAAACAATGATCATTACCATAAAACTCATGTTCCAGTGCACTAAATAGTATCTTCACATGCCAAAGAAGTTCATGTACCATCCAGGAAAGAAACTAATTTTTGAAAGATTTATTCAACTGGTTTAATCATTGTGAAAGGAGAAATTTTAAAGAAAATGGATACACTGTGATAAACTACACTAAAAATCTTTACCAATTCCTTAGTTAAAAAAAAAAAAAAAAAGAAAACTTGGGAGGCTAAACACTCAAAGCTAACTAACTACAGTTGGAACTTCAACTACAACTTGCTTACTGCAAAGGTTCATTCAAAATCTGAATGTATTTCTTCCCTATCTTTCACACCATTCATTCCATGGGCACTGACTGAGAGTTTGGGAGGGAAGGGGGAGGATTAGATACAAAAAGGAATGAAACATTATCTGCAACTTCAAGGAACTTAAAACCTGCTTGCTTCTCAGCCAAATACATTTGCTAAGTCTTCTTTCTTCTTAATAAATGTCTCTTGGATTTGCCCCTCTCTTTCCCTCTCTTTGTATCCTCTGTTTTACCAATACACCATTCATTTTTGTGACTATACAAAATTGTCACATTTTCTTATAATGAAGATTTGTAAAGTTATGTGACTCGGACAAATCATCTCACCTTAGAAAGGAACCTCAGCTTGTTCTATATGTAAAAAGGGGAAAACAGAAATTTCCTGCTTATAGGCTGCTGATTTTCAATCCTCAGATCTATGATTTTTTGAAGATGCTCTTAACACAAAGTAAACATTAAAATTTGCAAATGACTTCTACTTTTTATCCCTTACTCCTTTTCTTAGCTCTCTGAAAACTGATTTTTGGATCTATGGTATTTGTGAGATGATCGACACTCTTTCGTCTTAACAAAAGTCTTAAGGCTATTACTTAGATGTCTGACTGACTTATTTCCATTCGTACTAATCATAACCATCCTCAATACTGCTATGAGTGACCCAAGACAAAAAAACTGACTAAAAAACCTCAATGGTTAGGCATTTCCTGCAAACAACGTCCAAACTCTCTAGTATGATTCTTCCCACTGTGGTCCATGTTTAGATTTCTTTTTTTTTTTTTTTTTTTAAAGATTTTATTTATTTATTTGACAGAGAGATCACAAGCAGGCAGAGAAGCAGGCAGAGAGAGAGGAGGAAGCAGGCTCCCCTAGAGAGCAGAGAGCCCGATGCGGGGCTCGATCCCAGGACTCTGAGATCATGACCTGAGCCGAAGGCAGCAGCTTAACCCACTGAGCCACCCAGGCGCCCCCATGTTTAGATTTCTAATCTTACTTCCCAACGCACCACCTTGCACCCTCGAGTTAAGACCGAACTGTGTGCAGTTCATTCATTCATTATATATTCATTCTGCAAGTATTGACTAAGCGTATGTTGTATGTTAGCCACTGTGCTGTGCTATGCTTGGGGGATCCTGAAGTAATCAAGGCAGACATGGCCCAACTTCACAGAGCTCACAGTCTCGTTTATAAAGGGTTCATACTGCTCTTTACAGCACCCACCAACCTCCTAAATGCCTGCCGCAGAGTTCAGCTCAACGCTCAGCTCCTCTATGAAATCCCTTCTGACTCCCAGCCCCACCACACAGAACTGACTGTCCCCACTGCACCTCAGACACTGCCATCCAAGTTTACATAGCTCTTTATTATAACAACGCATTTACTAGTCTACCTCACCAAACCAGTGCATAAGCAAGGACCATGTCTTGTTCATCTTTGGAATGACTAGATTGTCATAGAAACAGAGGCTATGAAGACTTTGGCCTGGCACACAGAAGTACTTAATAACTATCTGCCTAGAAATGAAAGACTGAAGGAATTAATCATTTTGTTTTTTTTAAACCAAACCAAACCAAACGACTTTCATCTTTTTCAGTTTCTTCAAGTCATTCTCTAGACTGCAAGTCCCTTACAGTCAAGAACCACATATTACTAGCTCTATTCTGTGCACATATTAATCTACAAAATAAGCATCTGTTGGATATATTCTCTGGATCTACAACTCACAACTACTAGGACATGGTAAGGATGTCTTAATATAGTACTGGAGAAATGTGAAACTAACACTAATCAGACAGACAAAGCCATATGAAAATCTATCCGTTATGGTATAAAATCCATTTTATAAATGTATGATTTGAGTCCTAAGGCCTTGTCACTCACTATACAGGCAGAAAGAGTCACAAAACCCTAGAACTGTTCCATCTTACCACAGCCAAGACACTGTGGATCCAGATAATGAGAAAAAAGGGGGGGGGAATTCCACATTTATAAAAGGGTGTTAGTGGGGCGCCTGGGTGGCTCAGTGGGTTAAAGCCTCTGCCTTCGGCTCAGGTCATGATCCCAGGGTCCTGGGATCGAGTCCCACATCGGGATCTCTGCTCGGTGGGGAGCCTGCTGCCTCCTCTCTCTCTGCCTGCTTCTCTGCCTACTTGTGATCTCTGTCTGTCAAATAAATAAAATCTTTAAAAAAAAAATAAAATAAAAGGGTGTTAGTTCCTATGACAGATAATAATAAGGATACTCCCAACAATAACAACAAATGTATACACTACTTCCTGATTATCAGGCACTACTAGGCACTACATGAAGCATTTTACATGTACTAACTCATTTAATTGTCATATCAACTCTGTGAGATATCCCACATTATAGAGATAAGCAAAATTAGGTACAAGAATCTTCTCCAAGATCATTCAGCCAGTAAATGATAGAACTGAATTTGAACCCAGGATGTCTGGGTCCAGAGTCTTTGTTCTTAACCACAATACTGTTCTGAGTCTTTTAACCATAATATTATTCTTATTCTTTATTATTATACAATAATCAAAGCCCATGCAGACCCCATGAAAAAAATGCATTTCCAGACATATGGGGTATATTTCAGGAGTCCTTAACTTCTTTTTAGTAATGACTTCTATTTTATATTAAAGTTTAAAAATACATTATTTAGACATGAGACAATCTAGAAAGAACATGGGAAATTAAAGAAAAATCAAGGAGAAATCCTGCTACTTTTGCAGTACAGAAAGAAATGATACTATTACACTACTAAAGTTCAAGAGCTATAAGGAAGAAATCCTGTGAACTGTCAGCCCACAATGAAATGGATCATTCATGAAGATCAACAATTATACCACAAATAATTAGCTGGGAAAATCCACCTAAGGGATTGACTCCATTTAAAAGACTCCTTAGAAAACACTGCAATACATCCGTGGTTCCAAATCATATGACAGTAAGCAGAAGTCATAGCTTAGTAGATTTTTATAAAAACTTTTTTAAACAATTGTTATCTCTCATATGTCACTCCAAGTAATATAAACAAGGCATGGGTTCAAATGACGACTCTGAATACATAATTTTTGTAAAATATGGTTAGAAACAGAATTACACCTTGTCAAATAAACACACATACCATAAAGGGCCTTTGCACTTGTTTTTGAACCGTGTTCTCTGTCCATTTGGGAAAAGGTGGGTGATGTTCCATAGCCACTGTAATTTAAAAAAATAAATAAATAAAGGTCATTGTGCTCGGTTAAAGTCCAAAGTAAGCAATAAAAATTCAAAACTACAAATAAAAATTCCAATGTACCACAATCACCATGTGTTTTTAAAAAACATAACTTAGGTTTGTCAAAATGAGACAGATCCTGCTCTGGTCAAGAAACAGAATATAAACCACAGCACCCCAGTCTGGACTGAGGTAGGTGCAAATCACAGCCTCCTCTCAAACTCCAAGTCAGAACCTTCATAAGAAGGAAGTCAATAAGGCTCAAACTATCTCAGAAGAGTTTAAGTGTGCCATACTAAATTGAGTTGAGAGCAGTGATCCAGTCATAAAAAGTACTCAATGACTGAACCTATCATGGAATAGACATATTTTCACAAAAACTTAAAAGGTAAAATAACACTTTATCATTAATTGGACCCACTTTACCCTATTTCTAACCTCCTGCTACTAATAATGGGAGGTGGAGTAAACATATCACGTGAATTTAAAAAAAAACTTATTCAGTAAACATTAAACCCAAAAACCTATTAGAATAAGGAATATGGCAGGGGACATGATCCTTTTAATATAACAAGTAAGTAAAATTGTTACAATAGAATGTGACATCTGGATAAAACTAATAGATATAACAGGTGAGATCAAAGAAGGATTCAATTTTTAATCAGGATGTGCAGAAAGTCTTCACTGCCAAGTTGGCATTTCCGCAGAATAGAAAAGACTGGGAAGAAGTACAGACAGGTGGAGAATTAAGTGAGGAAAAGGTGTGAGGAACTGGCTCAGTGACTAGCACGGTGTCCAGGGGAATGATGCATCTAATGGGGCATGCCTAGAAGAGAGGAATGGCTTCAGACATAGGGAAGGCAAATAGAGGGCATAAGAATTTTGAATTTTTATTCTCTAGATGCAGCAAATATTTTTATACAAAGACATGCCATGATCAAAAACATTTTTAAAGAAAATAATCCAAATGGCAAGGTAGCCAGGTAGAGGGTACTGCAAAAATTATGGTAGGAAAAAGGCCCTACGTAGAACTAGAACAGAAAGAAGGAAGAGACAGGGTGCCTGGGTGGCTCAGTGGGTTAAGCCTCTGCCTTCGGCTCGGGTCATGATCTCAGGGTCCTGGGATTGAGCCCTGCATCAGGCTCTCTGCTCAGCCTGGAGCCTGCTTCCCCTCTCTCTCTGCCTGCCTCTCTGCCTACTTGTGATCTCTCTCTGTCAAATAAATAGATAAATAAATAAATAAATAAATAAAGAAGGAAGAGACAGAATCAAGAGTTCCTTTATAGGAGAAAATGTCACACATTCATGACTAAATGGATATTTATTGTAAGAAAAGGGAGGAAGACTGAGGGTGTGGCCAAACTTTCTGGCTTGAATAACTAATGGACAAGATACAATTTACATCGTGAATAACCTATGAATTCTGAAAAATGATGAGCGAACTCCAGACCATAATGGCCAACATAAAGTAACTACAATATCATCTACAACGAATAAGGGGACAGCCACTTATGTCAGGGACCTGAGTTCAAGTTCTACCTGGAGCCACAGGGATTGCTTTGTTTGGTCGCCTGACTTTTTATTTGATTTACACAGTGAAAAGTATCTTGACAGATTGGACTGAAAGACATTTAACTCTCCTCAAATGCCAGTGTTTTATAAATAAAAGTAATAGCATATTCCAGAGAAATGGAAATCTCGGAAGTATACATTCCACCATGGAAAGCAGTAATACATAAAATAACAGAAGAAACTGCCTTCTAGTAGGTCGTTGTCCTTGAGGCGGATATTACTTAACCATCTTTTTCTTTCCAGACACAGTAAACTTTTAAATACAATCATAGCTTAGAATTAGAAAGAAATTTTATATTAATGAAGAATAAACTACATAAAGAACTGGCAGTTAATCTTTTCAGTTAAAATATAAAACAAAGCCACCAAATCAAATCCAAAAAGAACCCCAACAGGGGCACCTGGGTGGCTCAGTCAGTTAGGCTTCCAACTCTTGATTTTGGCTTAGGTCATGATCTCAGGGCTGTGGGATGGAGCCCCACGCCGAGCTCTGTACTCAGAGCAGAGTCTGCTTAAGGTTCTCTCCCTCACCCTCTACCACCCCCACCCCTGGCCAAGAGTCCCGGCTCATGCACTCTCTGTCTGTCTCTCCCTCTCTCTCTAAAAAAATATATATAAATCATAAAAAAAAGAACCCCAACAAATTAAATATAAACCTTCCAACTTACTTCATTTGAGCTGGATACATTCCAAAGCCACTGGGATGATTAGAAATATGACCATTCATTGTGGTTTTCAGTCCTGGGTTCTGGAAAAAGAAAGGCATAGATTAAAGGTAATAAAAAGGTCAAGACATTTCAGTTTCAAGTTATGCATTCAACATACACATGTCACTGCTGGGACAGAAACACAAAGATAAAGATCTCCATCCTTAAAGAGCTCTGGCGCCAGAAGTGCAGACGGACATATAAACAAAGATTCAACTGGCCTTTAACATTAATGTATCAGAGCAGTAAGCAAATTGAGGCAAGTTAAAGAAAAATCTAAAATATAGTTCTGAGTCCTCTACATATAGAAGGCATAACTGTATATTCTGCTCAAACCTTTAAATGATTCTTGGTTTTATGAAATGTTACTTTGTTTACTGTTTCATTATGGAAGTACTATAGGTTTATTAACTTTAAAAACTTGAGAAAAGTGCAAAATACAGAACAAAGGGGAAAAGCAGTACCCAGAGCACTCTCATTTAACAATCCTGTTATTTCCCTCCAGTCTTTTTCTTGCATCTACTTTTCTTCTTTCTCCCTCCTTCAAAGCACATTTGACAACATTGTGTATACACACACTTGGATATACCTTTTTTCCAAGAAGGTATCCATTTACACATTCTTTTCACCTTTTGTGAGAAAGCAATTTCAAAAGTTATCACCAGATATTTCACTTCAGAAAACATTTTTAATATGTTTCACAAACTGAACAAATTCTTTCAAACAAGATGAATAAACAAAACTTCTTTCTTGTTAAATCCAATGGCCTTTTCTTTCCTTGTTCTCCGAGACAACACCTGATTTCTTTCTTTTTTTTTTAAGATTTTATTTATTTATTTGACAAAGAGAATCATCAGGCTCATGAGCTAGCACAAGCAGGGGGAGTGGCAGGCAGAGCTAGAGGGAGAAGCAGGGTCCCCACTGAGCACGGAGTCAGACAGGACTTGATCCCAGGATTCTGAGATCATGACCTGAGCTGAAGGCAGACCCTTAACTGACTGAACCGCCCAGGAGCCCCACACCTGATTTATTTCTATTTACCCCTCGACACTTCCTCCTCCTTGTGTTCTGTGACACAATTCTGGATCTTATCTTACTTCTCTTTGTACACATTACATTACTATGTCTTTTCAGTAACAAAGAGGTTGGTAGGGCGCATGCCAGCACTATTAGAAAACAAAGGCAGAGGGAGCAGGAAATTTAACAACTACTGAGTAACTATTATATGTCAGTAATACGATGGATACTTCCAAGGTGAACAAAACACAGTCCCAGCTTTGGGCCAATAATCTACTGGGAAAAACAGTCACTCAGTGAATAAATATGAAATTAAAAATTGTTGTTTCTATTACAAAGGGTGATATGGGGGTCCATTTTGAAAGGGAACTTCATTCAGATTAGAAGGCCACAGAAAGCCTACAGAAAGAAATTATATTCAAAACCAGTAACTTCAAGTTAATTCTCTCTCCTTTGTCAGCTTTCAATTCAATCACAATGTCCTCTGGGAAGCTTTAACTGACCTCCCTGAATAGGGAAAAGCCCACTATCAGACATTCTCAGACTATAAACTTTTTTAGTTTGTCGAAGTACTTTCCCCAACTACAAACAATTTTTCAAAGTACTTATCACAGTTATAATTTTTCATTTGTTTAATTCCTGACTCTTCACTGGACTAGAATTTCTAGAAGGGCAGAGACTTTTGTCTAATGCTGTTTCTCAAGCAGTAAGAACAGTACCAGGCATAGAATAGGTATTAATTAAATATTTATTCAAAGAAAGGGGGGAAAAAAAAGAAGAAAGTCCAGGTCCCACCTTTGAAAAACTTTACTGCATTCTTAACAATACAAAATCAATTCAAATGGAACACATAGCAGATAAGTCCCAGTGTGTGTGGCTCAATTTTAAATCAACTAGAGATTCAAAGGGAAAAGCCAGGCTGACTGCCATAATTTTTGGAAGGGGTGAGACCTGACCTAGTTTTAAAGAATAGTTAAGGATTTATAAAGGTCCTCAAAACACTCAAGTTTAATTCAAGATTTCCCAATAGTCCTGCCCATATTTATTCACAGCTTAGAAGCAAATTTCTAAATTAAGGAACAAAGAAATGCCTCTCCCCTTGATTTACAAAATTACAGTATTACATTAATTCACAAATTACTACATTTACAAAATAACATTACACTCATATTACATTGTTATATTCTGTTTTTATTGTTGTTTTGTTCTCCTTCAGTTTATACTTGGATATGATCAGTCATAGGCAGGTAAGCCAGTTCTCTGGGGAAAAATTAAACCTGATTTGTAGTGCTTACTGACTTCCATAGTATAAATAATTCCATTATGGCCCATCTCAAGCTAGTGATACTTCTATAGCGGCTTACAAAATTCCTAAATATCTCACAATTGGTTCTCATTCGCCTGTTAAGATCCAAACAGAACACAACATTGTTCTATTCTAGAATTTAGGCCAGGACAGAGGCGTGGAATCACCTTCTGGATCTAGAGCCCATGGCTAGACACAGTCATTCACAGAAGCCTGGAACTCTGCTTCTGGCACTAACTAGCTACACAAGTCAATTAAGCCTCTGTCTCAATTTTCTCACAGTAAAACAGAGATAATTCTTGGGTCTTTCTAACTTACAGGGCTAGTGAAAAATCAAATGATGGATGTATAAGTTTCTTCTCAAGTTTTTTTTAAAGCACTCTTTTAAAACAAGCTGGTTCGTTCAGTATATAAATTAAACCCCCAGGGTTTGTACTGGTTTGGATCTGGTTTGCATTTTAAAACCCCAGCAGCTGGTTTTAATGAAAAGTGATAGCCACAGCATCTCATCCTTTTCATGTTTAATTCTTCATGACAGTCAAATAAATGCATGGTTTGTGTTTTGTTTTAAAACAGTGATCTGTCAGGATAAGAGATTATTAGAAAAGGGAATAGAAAATGTCAATTTGCTAAATTGAATTTTAAATATAGAAACTTTTCCTATTTGGCAATCATGGTGTCACTTGTCACAGATGCTCATGTAGCAATATGGAGTTTTCAAATATTTAAATATAGAAATTAGAGTGCACACCTTGCAAAGAAAACAATTACAAATACCTGGTTTTTCCTCAGGCTTTTAAAAGACATATCCAAATTATAGCTATGTAGACCATATACATAGTTTAGAGGAACCTTCAAGTCTTACTAAAATAGAAGTACAGTATTTTCTCAATATCAATCAAGAGTAATTCTGTACCTTTAAACCAATACATCGTAATCACTTAAAATAATTATTTTGATTTCTCTTTTTTTTTTCTTTAATAGTGCAGAGAAAATTCTTAGGCTGTTTACTAATTAGGACGATTTGGCAGCCAGTCTATATTCAATCCAGAATGTTGTTGGCTTAACAACTAGCTGAAGAAAAATACCTGTCGCAGAAATTTAATAAGCAACTAAAAAGCATCTTAGTACTAACTGTATGTAGGCTAGTGTGATAGATTTCATAAGAAAGCCTAATACAGAGACAAGCCATATACATATACCTTATCACTGCTATCTGAGTATTTCCCTCCAACTCTAGCTGCTGTGACGGCATCATCAGAGCACACGTACTGCTTGATCTTATACATGGCAAATAACTAATATCTCAGTTCAAGAACACTGTCGATACTTTACTGATCTGGGAAAATATGCTGATTTTAAAAACAACTACTGTTATTTATTGACACTTTAACCTGTACCAACTATTGTGCTAAATGTTTTCTAGCCCTTATCCTGTTTAATAGTCACATTAATTTTTGATGAAGTACTATTTTCCATTCTCATTTTATAGATGAAGACATTGAGCTCAAGAGAGTACATGCCATTTGCATGTGCCTTTGAAATTTTAAAAATCGTCTAGATCCATGAATGACTACAGAGGAACGTGCTATCTGGGTGCCTGGGTGGCTCAGTCAGTTAAGCATCTGTCTTTGGCTCAGGCCATCATCCCAAGGTCCTGGGATTACCCAGAATGGGGCCCCTCCTCTGGGTTTCCGCAGGGTGGGGGTTTCTGCTTCTCCCTTTGCCTCATAGTGCCAGCTCCCCCCCCCCAATGCTCGCACTCTTGCTCACTCACTCACTCTGCTCTCTCAAATAAAATCATTTAAAAAAAAAAGAGTAATGTGCTGTTTCTTTATCAGATATAATCATAAGCAGAGAACAAAAAGGGGGAAAGAAAATGACATTTGATGAGCCCCACTTCATAGGACATTTTAGAAACCTCATCTCATTGCATCCTTAGAACAGCCTTTTGAGGTAGTTATTAGCTCCATTTTGTAGGTGAGATGTCGGTCTAAAATAAGTTAAGACACCTGCCAAGGGGGTAACACAAGAAGCTAGAACCGGAAATGCACGGGTTCACTTAGATGCAGATTTATCTCGGTAACTCCAGTACAGTACTGTAAATGGATTTTCTCTCCTTATGATGTTCTTAGTAACATTTTTTTCTAGCTTACTCTATTGTACTGCATAGAGTATATAATACATATATAAAATACGTATTTATCAACTGTTTATGTTATTGCTGACACTTCCGGTCAACAATCAGCTATTAATAGGTAAGTCAAAGCTACAATCAGCTATTAAGAGGAAGTCAAAAGTGCTATGTGATAGTTTTTGACTGCGAGGGGTCTGGTGCCCCTAACTACCTCATGTTGTTCATGGATCAAGTTTATAAAAGCAGGTCTTCCAAGTGCATTATTCACATGTAAATAGCACGTGATACCCATATATTTACCTGGATCATTTGCATTTCTTCCATTATAATTAAATACATATTAAGGGAAGGGAGGAGTAAGTCTCCAATTTAGCTGGAATCCTCCAACAAAAATAAAAATACGGTAGGACAGGGAACAAAATTCAGAGAGAGAAGAAACTGTCTTAACCCTTCTTTATTACCAGGCTCCCTATCCCCTATCCCACTGAAGCATACCTTGGGGTTGAGTTCTGGGAGAAATGGTGGTAGGATTGGCTGTTGAACTATTTCTCAGCAAAGTGTCCATTAAATTTCATAAATGA